ACATATTATACGAGATGCTGTATGTTTTGACAGGTCCAAGATCTCTTCACCCCCGGCTTGAGTCATATAAAAACCTGAGTCTGATGGGCCCCAATCACGCACACACTTCTCCATAAGCAATACAACTCAAGTTGAACATATGTTTAACTTATGACATGCGCACAAATAGTTGTAGAGAGGGCTTAAGTGACTCCAGGGAGTAAACAAAATGCTGCCAAGTGCTCAAAATAAAAAACAGAAGAGGAAACTTTTCCTGCAATTTGTTTTCAGCTACTGTAAAGTTTTACTGAACACAGCACGTTGGCGGAAATTGGGAACAAGTGTAGTAGCTCTGACAAGAACAGCAGAGCTGACTGTGACAGATGCCTACCTTCCACGCTGTTTGGTTCACTACTATTTCAGATAATAGTCAAAACATAATATATAAAAAAAAAAAAAAAAAATCACCATCTCAGAAGCTGCTGAACAATCAAACTACATTACATTTAGTCATGGAAAACTGCTCCGATGAATTTGCAATTAACATGATATGCTACAAGATGCAAGGCGCTCTCACCAGTGGTTGCAAAAGCCAGCACAGAGTAATATCCAACGTCCTTCAGCAAGCTTCTGAAGCTTTTCCGCTACAGGGCTCACATCAGAGCGCAGCTCCCTCTTCACCACTGTCTTGGAAGCGTTGTCCAGATGAAAGGGAGAGGAGAAAAAGAGAGCCCTGCACACCAGGCACGGTGAGCCTGCAACATTCAGGGCATGCTGGACCTTCTGCTATTCCAACACCAGCACAGTGCTGACGCACACATACAGAGAGCTCGTGAGATGTGGATCTCCTCCAGGAAATAAAAGGACCTTTTTCAGATTAGGAAATGTAGCACTAAGCATGGAGCTTATAAACACAGATGTGTTCCCTCAGGTTTCAATTTCAATCCCAAATTTCTGTGCTTGAAAGATAAATAACCAAGCCGACGTTCCGGTTGCCAGCAGCCAGCTCACGAAGTTACCCCCGAGCTCGAGGATGGAGGAGGCTGGGGCGCCTTCCAGCAGCTGCCCGCCAGCTCCAGCTCAAGCAACTGCACAGCCGAGCAGCTGCTCTCTTCCTAAGCACTAAGCTCAACGTAAAGCTGGTGCACTGCAGGTGATTCAGAGCCTGATAGGCACCCCTAGAAAATTATCAGCTCCATGGGAACCAAATAAAAATAAATGAACCCGTATCAATACCGCAAAGCCAACTTCCAAGAGTTTGAGAGCCACGGGTTCCTGCCTCAAATACAAGGGCTTTATAAATGGCTGCTAGATGGCAAGAACAAACAAAGCACAGCTCTAACAAACTAAGCTAAATAAGAACCTTCCACCATAAAATAAAATAATAATAATAAAAAACTTCAAGCGTTAACCATTTCTCTGAATTCTCTAGGAACGTACAATTCCTACAACCCAGTAGGACTTTTCAATGTTGACACCTAACCATGAAGAAAAGGCTGGGGGGGGGGTTGCTTTCCTATTCAAGCTCCAAGATTTATTTTTTCTTTTTTTGTACACTGAATAGTTGAATAAATATTTGATTCTACTGAGCCACATCCTCCCCTTCCTTCAGTTGAATGGAGCAGTGTTACCATTAACAGCCGTATTTCCATAGTCATCTGCAAGAAAAGATTAACAGAGGCAGCGATACAATTCGGCAGAATAATGGAGCCCTGTGTGGCTGGCATAACTGTGATTCAGCTAAGAATTGATTCGCAGCTTTGTTTTTTCAGAGGCTAAATTTGGTGGGGGGCTTTATTTTTATTTTTAAGTATTGCCAGGCAACCGTTTCTCAGGAGTGCCACCTTCCTTCTTCCAAAATAAATGTCAATGTTAAATTAAGCTATGCTATTATTTAAAAGGCATTGGGAAAATGGTTAATTTTCAAGACGTTAAGGGGCAATTCCAGCACAGGAAGGCTCAACCTGCTCAGATTTGAAGGACAAGCCTGAAGGCAAGCTAGAACACCGACATCTCTTCTGAAATAACAATAGAAAACTGGATCTCATTGCACTAAAGCTAGAATTAAAAGCTTCTGGAGACCTAAACATTCTAGCATCACAGTCAAGCATTATGGAAAGTCATCGTGTATTAACTGTAACTGTTTATTCCATGCACATTTTCCTCATTTTAAGAGGAATAAAGTCCAACGCAATGGATTATTTTCAATTCCACTGCACCTAGACATAACTTAGGTGCCAGCCCTTTGGATGAAGAGAGAAGCAGAGCACAACTCTGACATGAAAGCCCGTACATTCAGGTGGTTATTCTTGCTGAAAATAACCCAGGGACACAGGCAAGGCAGCTCTTGGCAGGCTAGCTTATTCCTACAGGGTTCTCATGGTTGCCTCAGAGAAGGGAAGAAAAAAGAAAACGTGGGCAGCTGTGCGCACCCACAATGTTCCTACAGCAGCGAAGTTTAAGGCACGCAGAACCTTTTAAATTTATTTTGGCCCCTCGTGGTGCTTTCAGGATAATTATTAATTATTTCACTATCTTATTTAGCACAGTGATAGAGAAATATACTGAGATTGTCATGTAATATACTGAGATTGTCACATAAACAACAACAACAAAAAGCTTAGGCTTTTCATCTAGGTGGACACACCAGCATTGTGAACATCCACAAGTTCAACATTTCTCCTTCATTGATATTTAATATTATTAAACTGGGCAGACTCAGCAAGAGGGCTGATGTTCTAATAAGTACACCCAGAAAGCCATTATGTATTGTTTTAATACTCATTTTAATTTATAGCGTGAAATTAATTCTCCCTGCTTCTGATGCAGAAAGCTGTTATTACTATTCACAAACAAATCCCTTTGCACCAAGACATGAAGGTACAACCCTTGAATTGTCTGGTAAAACAAACAGAGGTGGAAGAGAACAAAGAGTGGCCTTCAAGACAGAATTCTGCATTCAGAAACAGGAAATAAACTCTATTCCTCATTATATCCCATACATTCTTTAGCTATAGCACATCACTGGCCATTCTCTCGCCTTCATCTCCTGATGTGGAAATTAAGATGAAAGCCTAGAGCTGTTCGGCTTAGCTCATGAATGTAGTGCTAAAATTCTCTAAAATCCTCAAAAATAAGTTATGACAAATGCACGCCATTCTTGTTCTGTTCACATGATGAGCACATAGAGCCTTCACACACCTTCCACATCAGCCCATTTTCAGAGCAGATCCACGTTTGTGCTCTGCTCTGATTAACCACGGATGCTCCAAAAAAAACTCATAAATACGAGCTCATACCTTGTCCAGAATTTAAGTAATACCTAGGAAAACTGCTGTTTTTTCTATCTTCCAGATGTCTACTGCTGAGCATTGTGTGTTCCAGAGAGCACGCTAACGCTTACACGCGCATGGTTTTCGAGAGCGTCCATATATAGGCAGCATTATAAATAGCTATTTTTATAATGGAGGAGAACTGGCTTTTCATATAGGAGAGAGAGCCTCCTGCATATAGAAATTGTTCTCTTATTCCACCTTGTTCTTGCAGCCTCAGCTCGCCTCCCACTCACACAGCCCTGCTGCACACAACAGAAATAGCCACTGCCAGTGTCAAACCGCGCTAGTACTACAGCTAACTGGACCAGCTCTCCAATAATAGTTTCCAACAGGCTAACCCAAACCTCTTTATTATAAAGACATTTTCTTCACAGCAACCGTGCATTTTTTTAATGTTTTCCTGTGGCTATTTCACTGCAGAAAGACTTATGAAATTGATATTCTCGAGGGCTTTGTTAAGAGCGCAGAGCTACAGTAAACATTTCAATACCTGAACCTCAAAGGGCATTTTCTCCTCATTATTTTTGGGCTAAACTAGAAGGATCCACGTAGAGCGTTAAAACAGAACTGCAATTTCTTTGTTTAAACACCTCCAGCTTTAAGAAACGAGGCAGAATGTACCACCTGCAACGCTAACAGGTTTGATAAAACTGATTGCAAAGTGAGACAAAAGGAAGGAAGCAAAATGAACTTCTGGGTTTAGATTTGGTTTTGGAGGCTGACACGATAAAAATACCTGACATGGAGCAACACCGTATATCAGATTCGCTGAAGCTGTTGACGTTCCAATAACGCTGGCCGTGAGATGTAATACTTGGAAGTGAGATGTAATATGTATATATTAAACGTGTGTGGTTTTAAGCGATGCTGGCTGCTCTCAGCCGCAGGTCTCAGCCCTGACAGCAAGGAGCCCAAGCAGCCCTAGGTGCAAGACACGGGTGTAGCACTCGCATCTTGCAGCAAGCGATCGCTGCTGCTTCTACGCTGCCCCTTTCCTCCTCGCTCCTTCCCCCAGCCTCGCATGCAGTGCAGCTCCCCTGCACCTCAGCAACACCCAAGGCACCTCAGCATCGCCACGACCCCCACACAACCCTGAGCAAAAGCCGCATTTTGGGGGGAAACCCTGACAAATAAGGCTGGGAGGGGGCTCCCAGAGGTGCCCTCTGCCCCATACCCATCCACAGGCACCCCAATTAAGGGGATTAAGGGGGGGGGGGGAGGGGTTCCCCATCCCCATCCCCAAATTGAGCCATTTCCCACAGGCTGCCCCCAGCTGCGTGGGCGCGATGGCAGCAGGCGATACACCTCCGCCGCTCGGTCCACCTATTAAAATGGCGCTCCGTGCTCCTACTCCGGGCAGGTAGATTTTATATATATATAAAAATAGCCTTTTTTTCATTTTTTTTTATTTTTTTTTATTTTTCCCCCCTCCTCTCCTCCCTGCCGCACGCACAAAGGCAGCCCAGCCCCTCCAACGGCTCTGGCTGAGGCGTTGAGCGGCCGTTTAACGGCCGGGGCGTTACCCCCAACACCCCCCCCAATTTTGGGGGAAAAAATCCCCCCAACGCCCCCCGGGGATGGCGAACGGCAGCGGGCAGCGCCGCTCAGCTCCAGCCACGGAGCCACTACCCCGGCAGCCGGCGGGGCTGGCAGCCGGCAGCTCGCTCCCCCAGCCCGCACCCCTACCTCGCTCCGGTTCCGCTCCGGATCGGCGCCGGCTCCGCCGCTCCCCTCACAGCCCCGCCGCCGCCGCCGCCGCCGCCCCTTGGCCGCGCTCCCCCCGCCTCTCAACGCAAGCCGCTAGCCGCCCCGCCCCGCCCCCGCGCCCGGATTGACGGCTCGCTCCACCAATAGCAGGGCGGGGAGCCGGTCCCAAGCCCCGCCCTCTGTAAATTTCCACCAATGGGAGCTGGCCGTCAGCCTGCCACCGCTGCCGCCGCCTCTCCCCTCAGCCTTCCCGGCAGGCTCGGGTGGCGGGCGGCTGCCGGGCAACGGCCGCGGGGCCGGGCTGGGGACGGGGGACAACGGACAGGGGACAGGGACAAGGGACAAGGACAAGGGACAGGGACAGGGCTGGGGACGTGGACAAGTGACAAGTGACAGGGACAAGTGACAGGGGCAGGAACAGGGGCAGCAGTGATCCCAGCATCCTTACCCATAATCATAACTCAAAAATTTAAATTGAATTTAAATAAAGATATAACCCTACTGACTAAATGTAATAAGTGTGCTACCCGTGTTCGCACTCTGTACATCACCAACGCCTGTTGTGGTCCTTAATCGCTCCCCTCCGCCTGTGCTGGCTCCAGGACGGGAGGCAGTGGTGCTACCGGTTACAAACGAAGATAAACGACTTAACGCTCAAAAATAACGAACTGAGCTTCCGGTGACATATGCTAGCAATTAAAGCAATTTTATTTTTTTCTCTTCTATGCGTGTGTCTCGTCGTTTTCATGTGAGGCCAGATTGTAAGCGACGTGGTGGTGCGTGTCGAGTTCCTGTGAGAACAAGGAGACAGGAGCGTGGCTGTGGCAAAGTCTGAGGGGATTTTTTTGTTAAAACTCCACAAAAACCATTTTATTTTCCTACAGTGCTTCTCACAAGTAACCATATTCACACACTGACATGCTGTTGTTACTATTTTTACTGAGAGCTGCCTGGGTTTGGGTGTTTCTCACAATAAGCTGCGTGATAGAGCGGATAAAATGCTTTGTAAGAAACCTTCGTCTTGAGCTCTGCTTTAACAAGGCCAAAGTTTACATGCCAGAAATCAGATATCACAGCCCACTTGTCTTCTGGGTTTCTTCAATATATTCATAATAACATTGTTCTCCCTCGCCTTGTGGTTATGACAGAAATGTCAGAGCACAACAGCTCTTTGTTTACTGCCTCCAAGAGCTCGAGGCTCATTTCACGCAGCCAAAAAGACGGAATTTTCTAAGGTGAACCCTTGCCAATCAGGCATGGGTGTGGAGCTCAAGCCCCTTTCTTCTGACATGTGTCATGGTCTATAATGAAGGTTTTCTTGTGAGAAGCTGGGCTAGACTCCACCAAGTCACTAAAATAGGAAAAATGACTCTGAATATATGATATATATGAATATAAATATCATATATATATTATATATAGAGAGAGAGAGTCATAATATATATATGACTCTGAATACAAATAAGAAGTGGGTCTCATTCATAATAAGATGCTGTTTTTAGGCATTTTTCCTATACAAAGGAGAGGAAAATGCCCAAGTTTGGACCACCTAAGTGTCACTTTTTCAGGGACTCCAGATTGGGGCATGGAGTGATCGAGGCCAGAGACAAATGCATGAAGAAGGCAGCCAGATTGCCTCGGTTCCTTCTTTGGTCCCACAGGCGCTAGCTGGCTTCGTGTCAGGTTGGCCATCCCACACAGATCGGAGCGGTCTGATCCATTCTGCTGGAAATGGCGTGAAGTGCCAGGCACGTGCCTCCTCGAGGAGCCTGCACGGGTCACTGCACCAGCGGCAGGCATACTGGATCGATGGCTACACGACATTACACAGCCTCGGCAGCAAGGGGCTGCTCACCAGCTGCATCCCTGCCACGCCACTGGCACTTGCAGCCAGGTGATGGACGCAAGCATCGATGGGCGTACGGGGAGAGGCATGAGGATATCAAGTGGGCAGCACTGGCCGTACAGCCCCGACAGGTGTAAACATAAATGCACGGAGCAAAAGGGGAGCGGAGCATTTTAGAGGAGTTTTTACACAGAAAAAAAAAAAAAATATCAATGGGAGTTTTGCCTAGCTGGAAAGTGGAGAAATTGGCACACAGATAGGAGCAGATTATTCATTATTCTTGCTTGCAGTGACATTTCATTACATACAGAAGAAACAAAAACCGTGAAGAAGTGAATAGATATTGTTTCTTTCCTAGGGTCTTGAGAGAAAACAATGCAACAAAAGGGAGTGATGCTGCTTTTATTATTACTCTCTACAAACTGGCTGTTGCTTTCCCAGGAACTATGCTCTCAGTTGAGCAAGCAGTAATTTAAAGAGTGTTTTGCCACAAATTTCCTATGCAGCATTGCATATTTAATAGGTGCAATAAAGGCTGACAGTCACAATTCTCAGGTGGTAGAGTTTGCTGTAACTGCGCTGACATCCTTTCACAAAGCTTTTCTTGAAATGTGTATTTTAAAATGTGTAATTTGCCAGTATTGCTCTTGAATGGGATCATTTCATTTCAAACACTGGGCTCACGATCAAAGAGTTATGGCTTTGTTCCTCTGCGTGATCATTTCCACGCAAGTTCTGCAAACTGATTTTTTCCTCCTCCGTTTGGTGGGTGCTGCAACCATCCTCCACCAACTTGGCAAGTGGGGCGCTCCCCAGGATCTGCCTGCTATGCATGTTTGTGGGGATTCAGCAGGGATGTAGGTTTTCTGGGCAGCCCCGTGGCAGAATTGCCCAGCTCTTCCAAACCCAACAGAGCCCTTCGGTAGGGGGGAAGTCACGTAAGCAATGGTGCCAGTCTGTAAGAAATAGTTTTAGTGTCGTGTTCAAGAAGGCTTGTTAAGGCTATGAAAAGTACCAGAGATCTAGAACTTACCTAATCTGCCTCTTAGTTTATAAATAGGCTTACAGTGCTTAGCCACCTGCTGTATACTCCTCTTATGCATTACCACTGCCCTTTCTTCTGGCTTCCTAAACGTATGTGGGTAGATTGCGAGATACGCATTCTGCTTTTGCAGAGCCGGGACTCAGCCTAATTATAACCCGCAAGATCAGGATGTGACTGTTTTGACTTGCAGAAGCAAAGAGGAATAAATGAGCTGTTGACATTTAATTTGTTTGGATATTCTGAACTGGGTCCACTTTTTATCGTAATTTATTGTGTTTATGACAGTGCTGATACCTGATGAAAACCACCCGTGTGTGCAAACCATCATTTGCATTGTATTTGCTGATGAAATAAGGTGGCTCTTATCAGACGCTTCTGTTGTTCTTTTATGAGTCTGAAGTCAATGTGTTTTTATAACTTCTCAATGACAAGAAAATAGTACACAGAGCAAAGTTAAATAATGTTTCTTTCCAGCCTACTGTAATTTAGACAATCTGACATTTCAAAGAACCATACATCTTTATTTCCATAATAATGACCAGTTATGGTTAATGGATTTCATTCACCCTAATATGTCTTACCGTGTGTAATAGGCACCTTCAGTGTGCACGTAGGTAGCTTTGCCCACGAGGTGTTTCCTCCCTGAGCATAATGCATGGTTTTATATCAGCATTTGGTTGGAGCAAGAAATGGGGAAGATGGCATGACTACAAGGCAGCTTTCTGTTGTAGAGGTCTGCGCCTTGAGTGCTGAGGGCAATTCCTGTATGTCTAGCCCCATCAGTGTTGCAGTCCTTGATTCACCTCCAAATAATGGCACAGACACACATTGTTACAGTCCCATAGATCACGTCTTACTTCACCCCTTTCCTCCCATCATGTTCAGGTGTCCCTAGTAATGGTGTCAGGATGAAAACAGTAGGCTAGATCACACATTTTCCATATTTTCTTATTTTCCAGTGACTGTTTTCTGAAAATCACTTGTTTTCAGAGCTCTCTGAACTCTCCATAAACTGTTTCCCAGAGCATGCCCCCCTCTCATTAAACTTAAATACTCTATTTTCCTTCTCCGCCTTACTTCTCCCTCATTCTTTCTCTCCTGGTTGCATTCAAACATTACTCAGTGACTATCCTACTTGTGTCAGTGAGTCATGTGCACCTATACAAGCAGTATCCCTCACTCTCATAACCTGTTTTCTATGAGAATAGGTTTCCATAGGAAAGAAGAATCATCCTTCCTCTCCAGCAGCATTAGAATTTACTATCATCCTAAGCCAAGCCTGATGGAGAGCCCACACTGCTACAGACAGCATTTATAAACAGAATCCTAAAACTTTTTGTATGAAAAAGTAATATACGAAGCATTGCATCTAGGCTGACATTGTCCCATTACATGTAATCTTCAATGAAATCAAAGACATAACTAGCTTTTAATGTATTTTTAATATTTTTTTTCCATAGCCTGACATACAGAAGAAAATGTTCTGAAATATGGTTTAAATGTAGCAGCGATAGAAGGTTGCAGAACAATATCAACACCTTTGAGATGTTGCAGTTTCCACCTATTGTAGTATGTGTTACCATCACCGTTGTACCTAAGAGCCCTACTCTTGGCCTGACTGCTTAGTGGACTGGGTGTCATGGAAACGCCAAAGAAGAAGATAATCCTGGCCCACAAAGCCTTATTCTTCAAGAGGTGGCAGCTGACAGAGTACTGGAAAAGGATGAGTTATTTCACTTACTGAACTTATCGAAATCTGTATCATGGTGGCAGAGGTGAATTTCAAACAGAGATTTTTAAGGGAAAAACAAAAAGGTTTCCTTGATCTTTCTGAGAAACTCAGCAAAAGCACTTGGGTGAAGTATGGGAGATAATACGGATGTGCCCATGTGAAATTTTATCAGTCGGACGGAAAGTATCATCCTGGGTAGGCTGGATGCAAGAGCTTGGGAGATCATATGGTGGGGACAGAGCACAAATGGACTTGAAAATGGAGTCCATTCGCATACACTGATGCTATGAAGACAGAGACCGAAGAAAGGGTTGTAAAAGAGGATGATTTAGAACTTGGGGTCTCTCTGAATGATGATGCATCATTGTTATGGCAGTGCATGGCAAGGGTAAGGAAACAGATGTTGCAGCAATGATGTTTGGCATAAGGAAAATTTGGGTGAGTTTTCGGTATGTAGATGAATACAAAAAAAGCCT